CCCTGGAAACCTTCAAGGTCAGGTTGGACGGGGCTCTGAGCAACCTGCTTGAGTTGAAGATGTCCCTGCCCGTGGCAGGGGGGTTGGACTAGATGGCCTTTAGAGGTCCCTTCCAACCCAAACTATTCTATGATTCTATGATTCTATGATCATGTTTTTTCTACCCAGTGTTCACTGGTGTCACCTTACTAGTGATAGGGATCACTTCTACACTCAGGCACATGTGCACATTTTTGAAATCCATTTAATTAATAATCTCTTCTAAAATTTAAAATAGGCAAAGGGTTTACAATGAACAAAATATAATCCCGTCATTAATTTGAGATTAAAAAAAACATGCCTTCTCATCCCAGAGCACTGATTTACAAAATTCTTGAGTTCCAGTGACTTACACTACAGAGAAAATCCACCCAAATAATGAAAACGGCCAGTAACCAACACCTCATAAAATTGCCTCCTCCTTTTGTATCACTCGTGAATTCCATACCAGCCCACCTGACTGATGCTTTGATTCAAGGTATCTTAAAGTACTAAAGGTATCCTACTGTTCAATATTAAAATTCCCTACTTCACCTATCTTCAGGTTCTGATAATGCCCAGAATTAACAAGTCTCGATATGCTGAGCAAGTCTTTTTTCTAATTTTTGAAGCTTGCCAGGTTAACAGACCTGGACTGCCTTTACCTATTTCAACTGTCGGATGTTCTTGAAACCCCTCAAATTGACGAAGCCGAAGAAAATATTGTGAGGGAAGGAAGTAGCAGTGCCACCATCTGTCCATTTGTCCAGTAGCTCTTTACTATGGGATAATTACAGTGATCCTGTGTGTGCTGACTCCCATGAGAGGGCATTTGAGAGCAAGCTTTGATTTAAGAGAGAAAGTCTTTTCCTTGTCCTTCTTAGGAGCTGCTTCTCTCTGTCTGCCTACCTTGCTCAGAGTAAAGGAAACTCCATGCAGCAGGTTGCAAAGCTGCCAGCACTCAGGTGCTCACTCTTTTAACAATAAAAACTGCACTTGGGAGCAGAAGCTGCAAGAAAACTCCCTGCTCCTCTCAGGACTGTCTCAGGTGTTTTGGGTGTTCCTGTCCTGCTGGCTTTCCTCAGCAGGAGAGAGCTGCTCTGTCCATCCAGGCCTGCTCCCTGCCGCATGCATGGTATTGCCTCTTCCCAGCTCTGGTCCCAGTGAAGGAACAAGCTCCACTGCCCGTGGAGCACCACAGCCAAGGACATTCAAACAGGCAGCTGTCTCCGTCCTGTCTAATGCTGCCCTTCCAGCAGAGTGTTCATGCAGAAGGCACGCGACACCAAAGTGGAGTGATGCTGCCAGGCACAGAGCTAGTAAACAGCAAGACAAGCAAACAACTAGGCCTAAGACAGCTTTTGTACACGACCAGCTCAAAAAAGCTAAAATTTGTTTGGAAATGCCTTTTAACATGCTGGAAAAACAAAAATGCATTTTAAAAAAATTGAAAAGGAAAAAACAGCCCTATACCTTTACTGGACTTTTTAAAATTTCACTTCCTTGATAAAGTCTCATCAGAAAAATACAAGATGTGATTGACAGGGAGTTAGCAGATCTGTTGATGAACTTTCTAACTTGTGCCTCTATGTAGTCAGAGCTAACTCTTGTAGCCCAGTAAATATAACTTCTACTCTCAGCAGGGTGATGCCCCAGCTGTGCACTGAGCCAGCAGTGCAGGGGCTCAGCCTTGCCACAGCCTGAGCTGGGCATCGCTGGTTTAACCCTTGTGCTGGGGCCAGTGACTGCTGTCTTCTCTGCTCCAGCTTCAGCTCTGGGGGTGACCCGTCTGGGGAGGAGGTGACACCCCTGCCTGTCACTGCCTGACAAACCATAGCCCTTTGTGTGCCTAGGGGGTGGGGTCTGGGGGCCACTGCCTGGCTGCAGCTGGCAGTGCAGGAGAAGGATACAGGCTGGATGAGAAAATGTATAAAAATAACCCCAACTTGACCCCTGACTAAGGAGGAAGAAACCCGCACCAGGAACATCATCTTTCTCTTGGGAAAGAGCTCAAGATGCTAATGACTAAGGCCTAAACTCTCCCACTCCTTCTTGAGAAGACTGAAACTGTCACCTGTAGGACCCAGAGGGACACTGGAATGTTGAACATAATACCAAAGAAAATGGGTAGATATTAATAAGTTTTCTGGTATTAACAGTTTTGACTGTGCTGTTCATGGCGCTTTTCTACATTCATTATATAATATGGATTTCTACACTGCTTAAATATTAACTGGATAAACAACAGATTCCTATATATACACTATGTTTCCTATTGCCCTTAAAAAGGTTTTGAGTGTATCACTGTTATTATGGCAACATCTTCTTGGGCCATTTACATTAGTCCTAGAACTCAGAAGGACATGGAACATTCTTTTACCACTGTTTGCTTTTCTTAGAAGATAGAAGCTCAGATATTCAGTATTTTGCATCAAAGACTCTTTCTAGGGAGGTTGAAGCAGTTGTTGGAAGGCCTGGAGAGAGCAGACCTAATGACATCCATAATGGCTGACTGTGCATTTCTTACACAAATAGCATGAGCACAGATTAAAATATTCAGTGCAATTGGGAGGATCCTTATCCCCACTTCCAATTCCAGTTAGTAGACTGGTTGATTGGTTTTCTTGTGGGAGCTGTCCTGTCTCACAAAAAAAGCCAATATGAAGTGAGATCAATAGCACATTCATGACAAAAAGTCTCTCACACAGGAAATGCAGGAGAAAATAGAGCTTTTTCATAATGGCCTGTTATGCCGCCATGTGAACTTCTATGACTTCAACATAGGCCTTGAGGTACCCATTAAAATCTGCCCATAACTGACTGGTAACTGTTTTACTGTTGACAGACCTTGACTCCTTTTTGCCTTGGAATGAACAGATATGTTATTGGCAAACTGTTTGCATCAGTATGAATCTGGGATAAAGTTTTCCTTCTAAGGAGAACATACCCTGTTCCAGGCTGCCTTGGTGACACCCACGCATTAGTTTATAGTTCTGGTTCTGTAATGTGGATTCCATCATATCCCAAAGTAGTATAGCTGTATTTTCAAAGGAACAGCTTTTCCTGCATTCCCTAGTTCAAACTGACTGTTTGGAACCTACTACAGAAAAGTTAGATGTTTTCCAGTTTGTATAGCAGTAAGTTTTTAAAGCTCCTTTTTTAAAAATTATTGCATTAAAAATGCTTCTATTTATATGAACAAATACTTCATATTTGTAATATATGAACAATAATATAATCTTCTCCATTATTTTAATGATTGACACAAACTAGGCATATACTATGAAAACTCATGACAGCAAAGCCAGTTATCAAAGAAAGGTGGATATGATCTTGTAGGAAATAGAGCACATCTCAGTTCTGTAATGCTGAATAATATTAGCATTTGTTGGCAAGAAACAAGCAAAATCACAGACGTCTGGGGGAACTGCAACTTATGTCCCATCTCCCTATTTTTAACCATTGACAAAATATGTATGAAGTGCTCCTAAACTGGATGTCACTGGTGTTACTATCAACCTGAAATGCTCTATTTAATTTAAATAAATGTAAATTTATTAAATTTATTATTTATTATTTAAATTTATTAATATTATTACTTATTATTTAATTTTAAATCTAACTTAATTTTGCCCCCTCATCTTTCACTGCTCTACTTGCTTCTTTAACCTTTCATTTCTCCCTAGTAGATCTCTTTCATATTTTTCTTTCCTCTACATTGGTCACCACAGATTTTGTGCTCTCTATACATGTGTGTTTGGCTTTTTATTACAACACCCACTAACTGTGTATGATTTCTGAGACTGCCACTGCTTGTCTTCCTGTTACTGCTGATGACTAATGCTGCTCCATTTGCCTCTTTGAAATCAGCAGCTGAAAGTCAGTGTGTTCCAGTGCCTGACATCACAGCATATTAGTTGTTAAGATGGCATATTTTTTGAGACGGTTTTATTGATTTCCCCATGATCCTGTTAGCTGCTTCTGACAGAAGGTAGGGCCATGAAGACTGCTCCTTATGCAAGAGTTATTTTTTTAAACCTCTAAGGTACGCAAATAATTGTGCAATTTACAAGCTATTTATCATAAGGATCTGATGGTATCTTTCTTGAAGAGAACAAAGTGTCCTCTTGCTAAAATTGTATTCTCATTTCTATCTCAATCAAGTATGGCTGTGATACGATCTTCTGAACACAAACAGCACCAGCTATAGCTATCATTGTTTACCTGTTTTGCATAGACTAGGTGTTTTTTGAACACTTTTTTTTCTAGGCAAAATATGGTTTTGCTTTCCATCAATTAATCAAACAGCATACACACTGCTTTCAATTTTTATCATATTAGTAGGGAAATTAAAGCAGATTATCAATAGCACAGAACACTGACTTGAATTTATTTTTATTGATGCTAAAACACTGAACAAAATGCAATTAAAAAGAGTTTGTTTTAATTTCAGGAAAGGAAATAAAAAAAATAACTATTTAATGTCTGTTCCAGAATTAAAATAAATCTTACCAGTGAATCCTGGAGGACAAACACAACTGTAGTCTGCAACCAGGTCTAAACAAGTTGAATTGCTTTTACAGAAGCCATAAGAGCACTCATCAAAGTTGATTTCACAGTTCAGACCTTCAAATCCTTGGTTGGAAAAAACCAAAAAGCTATGTATTATTCAGGTATATCTGTGCCTTCTTTTCTAAAGCATGTCTTTGTGTCCCTTTTTCTGAAAAAATAGATTGTTTTCAATTTACTCTTGTAATAAAATTATCTTGAAGTCTTTTTGAAAGACATTTCTAAAAGCTTTTTCTGCTCTGGAAAATACATTTGACCATCAAGTATACTTTAAAAGGAGCTAATAATTGAAAGAACGAATTTAGGATTCAGTATTTTCATTAACCTAGTTGAACTTTTTGTTTAGCAGAGACTTAAGAATCTATATATCTTCTGCTATTTTGAGAACATTGCAGATGAAGATAAGTGATGCTGGGATTTGGACATCCAATTATAGTTTTAAAAATCAGGTCTCAAATAGTTACTTCTCTACTTTTTCTCTATTTGTTTCTTGTGTCATAGTGACTTTTAGCAAACTCATAAGTCCAAGAGTGTTTTTGTACTTGAAATTGCTGGAGAATATCCACTCCAGTATCTGACATTTTACGCTCTTGTAAATGTATTCTAATTCATGGTCATGCTACAAAATGACTATCATTAGTGCTGTCACAGGCCATGGCTGCAGGAAGACCATGACTAATGCTAAACTATCAGCACCCTCAGTGCAAGGCATATTCCCATAATTTCTCAAACTGACCATGGAACCAATTTCCAGTGATCCCTAAGTCATAAAACTTCAGAATTACCCTTAGTTCATTAATAATGTATACAGTAACAGTTCTCATTTGCATTCAGAGTTTAATCAGACCCATGTCTCACAGGTAACAAGTAAGCCACAAAATTATCAGACTAAACAGCAGAATGATCTTTTCCAAGCTTAATTTTCAACTGCCTTCCAATATCTGTTTTGGCTTCTAATTTAAGCTAACTAACGCTGGAGGCTGTACTTATGAGAATTATTTGTAGCAATTTCATCTTTTGTGATGAGTTTCTGAACTTATCATCACCACTAGAATGCTTGTATTAATATATAAATACCTGAAATATTGTAAGCTATGAAATCCACTCACGATCAGTTCGTACTTACAAAAGAGTACTATTTGAAGATTAAAATCAAACAAGTGTAAGAAATGCAGAAACAAAGTACCAGGTTACAAATCACAACACTGAGTTTATTTTTAACTAAAAATCCAATTTTAAAAAAACATACAAATTTTCAGAAGAAACCCATTTGTGAAAGTATTTCAGAAAGACACTGTAATTTTAAATGTTTTAAAGCATTTCAGTTTTTCTTTTAACTACTTTTTTCTTAAAACCACTTATTTGTTCATACACTTCTGATAACACTGAGCAATAGGCATTTTTAAAGAAACAGACCAAAAGTGCTGAAAATCACATTATTTTTGTCTATGAAAGTTTTAATAGATTTTTGTACTGAAGATATATTACAATCATTATTATGGCCATTGTAATTTGCTTGCTATGCTCAGTCATAAAGCTGCAAGTTAGTACAACAGGATAAAATATTTTCTCTGTAAGTTTATTGATTACATTTTCTGTGGATTTCACGTACTGCTTATTTGTGTTTTCTCCACTCCTTCAGACTTTGCTAAAATCATGAGGTTCTGTCTGAAAAAAGTAGCACTTACAAGTATGTCTGTTTCCATTCTTAATGAGCATGCTTGTTTTATTGGATGCTTTGGTGGACACAGATGCAAATGAGACTTCAGTAAAGAATGAATAACTTACTTTCACAGAAAGGAAATTTTAACAATGGTTTTGAAGACTGTCAAGAAGATGCTTTGCAGACTGCAGGCAATTTTGAAAATTTTCAAAGGTAATAAAAATAAATTATTTTGAACAACTTACCCTCAGGGCAAAAACAATCATAGCTGTTGACATCATTCTGACAGACAGCACCATTCAAGCAGGGAGCTGAATCACACTCATTCATTTCTATTTCACAGTACTGGCCTGAAAAACCTGCAAAGGAAGCACGGTAAACTTTGATTTTCTTCATCTTTATGTGTGCTATTAACATGAAACTTTTATTCCAAATGTTGTTCTGTAATTAAAACCAAGAGGTGTTATGATCCATATTCCCCTGAAAAAGGAAGCTGGAAGTCGGAGCTTCTGTGTTTTATTTACAAAGAATTAAATTTCACTCATTTCTTATTCAATATTACATATACATATCTTTATTGCTGGAATAAAGCAATAAATGAAGTAGGAAATACTTCCAGAAAGTAAGAAGACATTCATAGCAGTATGCAAACAATCTACAGATTTTCAAGTGTTTTGCTTGTATTAGAGTCACTTTAGTATTTTTATGATACCTTTTTTGAATTTTACCATGTTAATATAAGAAAGAGTACATCAGTTATCTGCCATCCATTGTCTGGTGTTTTCTACTGTGGAGAGGAGCAGTAAAAAAATAGAGTACAAATACATTGAGGTATAACAACACATGCCACACGAGTCAGGTCTTCAGCACGTGTAAAGTGCATAGCTTAATTACAATAGATGAGGATGCTGTATATGTTGTTAAAAGAAGGAAAGTAGACATCATTAAAACAAAAATTCAAAGACTAATGAAACTTACAAAAGGAAAGGGTAACTCAATTTTCTCATTTCTTACAGGTACTTTGACACACTGTATGGGGTGCAGGTGCCCAGGCTGCAGGGCGGCCTCTGTGAGGAGAGGCTGGGGCTGCCCCGTGCAGGGGACAGCCAGTTCCAGCCGGCTCCAACTGACCCACCACAAGGCATGGCTGAGCCCAGCAGCCAAGGTGGTGGTGCCTCTGGGAAAGCGTATTTAGGAAAGGGCAAAACGCTGCACAGCTGGAGTGAGGAGTAAGGGTGGAAAAAGAGTGAGAAATAATCCTGTGAGCACAAAGCTCAGAGAAGAAGGAGGGGAGGAGGTGCTCCAAGTGACTGTGGAGAGGACCGCTCCAAAGCAGATATCCACACTGCTGCCTGTGGAGGACCCCATGCTGGAGCAGGTGGATGTGCCCTGAAGGAACTGTGGCCCATGGAAAGCCCACACAGGAGGAGGGGAAAAGTGTGAGGAGGAAGGAGCAGCAGAGAGGAGCTGTTCTGGACTGACCACAACCCCCATTCCCCATCCCCCTGAGCTGCTTGGGCTGGGGAGGAGGTAGAGGAGTAGGGAATGAAGGAGTGAAGTTGAGCCTCGGGAAAAAAACGGGGATGGGGAAGATGTTATTTTAATTTATCTTTGTTTCTCACTATGCAAACCTACATTAATTGGCAATAAATTAAACTGATTTTCCCCAATTTGAGTCTGTTTTACCTGTGACAGTAACTGGTAAGTGATCTCCCTGTCTTTATCTCAACCTGTAGGCTTTTTCATCTTTTCTTCTGCCTCCCATGTTGGTGAGAAGGCAGAGTGAGAGTGTGGCTGGGTGGGGTCTGACAGCCAGCCAAGGTCAACCCACCACACATCTATAGCTTTGTTCTATGTTCATTCCAAATATTACTACTAATTTTTGCACAATCATTAGCACATTCAGTTTGATTGGAAGAACAAAATAAATCATACCTTCCTTGTTATTAAAATAAAAAAAATCATCCATCTATAAAATGAAAGTGTTCCTGTTGAATGGTTTTCTTCTTTCTTCTGTTCAGTTTCTTTCCATGTAACTTAGTGTAATTATTCAAATGGAGAAAAACCATTCTTTTTTATATTAGGTTCCCAGGACATGAATTGCAAAAGATGTATAGTGAAAGCATGCCACACTGTTAAACAGATGTTTATTTATGTAAAGCAAAAAGTTCCCATTTTTTTATTTTCTTAAAAAATGATTTTTAAAACTACCAAATAAAAATAAATCAGTAAATTAAAACAATTGTATATGTTAGGAAAAAAAGATGATTTTACATCTTTCCTTCCTATTTTTATATAATCTTTAAAGTCCCTCAACATTATCTCATTTAGAAAACAATTTCAAAAGCCTTCAGAATCATCATGAAATGTCAATCTGTGATGCATTTGTGAATGCCAGAAAAAACAATTTCTATAGAGTTGATATTTGTGTCAGCAAAATAACAACAAATGCAGATAAATACTGTGAGTTCTTTTCCCTCTTTCTTGCAGAATTCATTTATGAATTCTAATATACAGTTGGGTTCTCACATATGATACAGAGCACAACCTGCACAGAATACAAGAGAAGTCAGATGTCAGGCATGCTTTCAAAGAATCTCCCTTTCAGTCTTGCCTTAGACTGAAATTTTTTAGAAGGCACCACACAATCATCACTATATGGATTATTCTGGATTATTTGGTATCATATATTTCCCATGATTCTGCCTAACTATCAAAGAAAATGTAGATAATCTGTAGTAGTTAATATAATGATGGTAGAAGGTACAAATCATGCAGATTAATAAAATGTAAACTGTAATTCCTGTGTTCATTTCACAGGTGTTATAATTTACCAGCATTGCTAGCCATGCTGTTATATTTGGAAATATGATTAGTCCTTACTTTTTGAGAGGATACATTACTAAACTTTAATGATAAAAGTATTATCCAGGGAATAGATTTTTGGTTAAGAACACATCATTTTTCCCACAGGCTTTCTTCCTGAAGTGAAACATTTTTTCCACTTGCAGATGTAATAAAAGAAAAACCAGCAGTGCTGTTCAGGTTGAAGCATTGTTAAGGTCAAACCAGGGAACTCCATGCTGTCCCTTCCAGGTTAGTTTATTTTGTCACTCTGTTGCATTGTGGGACTGGCCTCAGTAACCTAGGATGTCCTCACTTGTCCTAAGTTCCATTGAACTTTATTTTCCCACCACTTGGATATTTGATAACAGACTTCATTTTCCAAGAAGTGGAAGTATCGTAGGATTATTACAGAGCATTCAAGTCCTGAAATAAATTTGTCTAATTTAGCTTTCACTACTAATCAAGTTTCCTCATTAATTGATTATCTTTATTCATACATATCTTTACTGTTGATTCCATTTTATATGATATTTTAAATCTAGCCTTTAAGCCCATA